TCAGGTATTGGGCCTGCTTGATTATACTTGCTAGTTGTCCTGTGAAAATGTTTCATTTTCTTTTGACAGATTGAAACCATGCAGCCACAGTCAGACTCAGGCAAGGGAGGAAGAGGATTTAAAAAACCAAAGCTGTTTTATTTTGAACTAATTTTAGAGTATTTTAAAAGTTGCAGAAATACTGGAGAGAGTTCCCCCGTACGTCAACACTGTGCTTCTCTTCGTGTTGACACCTGACATAACCCTCGCGCAGTTATCAGCGCTGGGAGGTGGACACTGGTACAGTGCTGTTAACTGACTCACAGGCTTGTTCACATCCGGCTCCAGGTCTCCTCCAGTGTCCTCTTCGAGGATGCTGTCTGGGTTCCCACTCTGCATCTGTTCTTTTTGTCCATAGCCTCCAGTTTGGGACAGCCATCAGTGCATCTCTGCTCATCTGTCCTCTTAACGTGAATTATTGCTGGAGACACAGCAGCGTCTCCACTTGTGAAGTCATTTGTCTTCCCTTTTGTAGTTAATATATTGGGGCAATAACCTTGAAACTATGGATTTTGTTAAACTTTGCTCGATTAAGTAAATCTTAGCCATAGGTTTGTGGACACAGACTTAAGTCATTTTAATTTAGAAATCGTGAAGTGCCATTCAGAACTTGAGCAGACAGAAATGAATACAGGGTCTTCACATCCATGAGTAGCTTGTCATTTACTGGCTTCGTTTTTTAAAAAGGAGTGTCTTTGAGGAAGAGTCAGTCTCGATGTCACTCCTGTGCAACGGTAAGTAGGCGCTGCTCGTTCAGTGATGTGGTGGGAGCTGAAGCCGTGTGGCCCTGGACCAGACCACGGGAGCACTTCCTGTGCCAGGGAACAGACTCGCTCAGGGACGGGATAAAGCCCTGCTCTCTGAAGGATGCTCCCTCCAGGGCAGGCACTCTCAACAGAGCCTGGGGCCAAATCAGATCCTGGGGCAGTAGCTTTAGTGAGGAAGCAATGGATTACCTGTTTGCTTTGGATGGCGGAGCAGTTTTGTGAAGGGAGATGGGGCTGAGGTGGGCCCAGGAGATGCTTCTCCTGGGGTGATGCCTAAAGACCCTTGATCAGCATTAGGATGAGATTTCTGTTTGTTCCTATTTATTTGTTGCTTTAAGCCATTTCAGGTTTTCAACCAAGTGACTAGAAGCACTTTTAACCAAGTTGAATTTCCATCCTCAGGTAGCTAAACTCTTTTCCTGAGCCAAATTAATAGAATGGGATTTCTTATTAAGAATGAATTATTAAGTAAAGTGGAAGTGCCGGGCTAGGAAAGCAGTTGATGCAATTTGTACTCAAAGCCTTGAAAGTGCTGCAGCGTGCACAGATCAAGGGCCGGCCACAGCGCCCTGGCACGGGGCATTCATTTTCTCTGGTGGAGGATTCCAGGTTCACAGGATGTCAGGAGTGCTGACTTGGCAGCAAAATCCCATTTGTAACATGTTAGATTTAAGAAGCAGATTGATTTATATGTTGATGTAATGGATCAAAGCACAGTGTTTGCTTCAGAAAATGGAGAGCACGTTAAATAAGAGCATTTTCAAAGGAAAGCACAAGGATTACAGGAAAAACAACAACAAAAAAATCCTGTTGTACTCTAGGTGAGGTTAGGGTATGTTTGATTAGTTGATTCCTGGACGTTGTCCGCAGAGGCTTTTTATATTCCAAATGATACCTTCTTGAGAGTCTCTGATGACCACAAGGATTAATCTTTCTGAACTCAGAAGTGAATCACGGCAGCATATGAGCTGTCTGGACCGATTCCAGTTGCCCTCCTTTCCCTTGGTGGTAACTGATGTGAGGAGCTGTGGCTGCAAGCTGCTGCTTCCTGCTGCTTTACCCTTGGGTGTTTGAGATCCTCTTTGGGGAAGATGCTGTTGACTATCTCTACACAAAGATCAAGTGCACTTACTACCAATGTACTGACCTCCGTGGTTGACCCGTAAACTGAGCATTCATACAGTCAGAACCTTTGTGGTCTTTCAGCCAACACCACACATGGACATCTGCCGTGTGACGGGCATTTGCCTGCATGATCTTGACCACGCCCCCTCTGTGGCCTGGGCCACCTCACGTAACTGACACTGCTTCCTGCCTGTATTCATTTTTGGAATGTAAGAGGCAAATGACTTCCCTCCCTTGTCCCTGTACTTCTGAAAGACGAGATACCACCCCTGAGATCCCACCCTGGCATTCCACTTGTTTACTATTAGAATATACCATTTTTTGAGTTGCGAAAAATGTTTATATGCATGCAATTATTACCAGACTAAAACTTAAAAAAAAAAAATTCATTGTTCAAAAATATTCTTGTCCTTTTTCCCAGTCGTTAACTCTTTTATGGATAACCACGAATCTGATTTCAGATTTAGCCATGTTGTTGTATATATCCATAAGTCTAGTCCAGAATTTAGAAACTGTTGCTCAGGTCTTTCACATTTAACCACGGTAGTTCATTTGTGGCAGGTTTAAGAAACACTGGGCTTCCCAGGTGGCACAATAGTAAAGAATCCACCTACAATGCAGGAGATGTAAGAGATGCAAGTTTGATCACTGGGTTGGAAAGATCCCCTGGAGGAGGGCAGGGCAACCCACTCCAGTATTCTTACCTGGAGAATTCCATGGACAGAGGAGCCTGGCGGGCTACTGTTCATGAGGTCACAAAGAGTTAGGCATGACTAAACGTCTAAGCTACTAGGAAATACTATTTCCTGACCTGTTGATTGTTTATTTCTGTCTAAGCTTTTGAAGAGTTAGAAGGAAGGAATTTGCTGAGAATACTGATTTCAGTGCAGAGTGCAGCCTGGGGTTTGCGCCCCTCTGTCCCCGTATGTACCCCCTCATGTGCTGTATGCGCGTTTCCCTCCGCATCGTAACTCGGGTTACTAGCCCTGATCCTTAGTATGGCTCCCAGAAGAAGAATGAGCAGTACAAGAGGCACTTTTTGTGCATATCTCCAGCTCAGTGTGAGAATGAAGCATATTTGTCTTAGGCATCTTTATACCTTTTAATGATCTATTTGAATTAAATGCCACTAGGGCAGTGGTCCCCAACCTTTTTGACACCAGAAACCGGGGTGAGGGGGTGCTTTTGAGAGGATCCAAGCACATTTATTGTGCACTTTATTTCTGTCATGACATCAGCTCCCCTAAGGTTGGGGACCCCTGCATTAGGGTACTACTTGTGCATTCTTTTCACAGGTACCTTAAACATTTTTTTCTTTCTTTGGAGTAGACAGGACTTAACCCCAGTATGTAGCTTCACAATCAGTTATTCTGAAGGCGTAGTATCTGTCTTCTACTTTAGTAAATGATTATTCCTCACAGTAGGGCAACGATCTATTCTACTTAATAAAGTTGCTGACTGTTCTCCTCATTGGATCTCATTGAGGTGTTTCTCAGCCCTGACTGATCTTGGCAACATTTTAGATCCAGATTAGCTTTCCCCCAACAATCAAGCAAGTGTTCGTGCTTCCTTGTCTCATGCTAGTGGAAAGCAGGCTGATTTTAATAAACTGCAAAGCAAAACTTGCGTAGGTGGTAAATTGGTCCTGGAAAAGGTGGTATTTCATAATCTAACATATGCTTCTGATTGGAAGGACCATTCATGTCTGTAATCTGTCCATCAGCACAGATCAAGGAGACTTGCCTGGAAAACACGACTTTCTGTATATTTTAAAAGCAAGATCTGCTTTCTTCTGTTATTAGGAAAACCATTTAGTATTAATGCTCTTTGCTCTTTTTGAAAAGATCATAATAGACCATATAATTGAACCCGACTCTCAAGTTTTCACGTTTTTAAAAAGATGTTTAAGTTCTGTTTTGAAAGAACCTTTATATTAGGAGAGACAACAAAACTTTATTGTGGATGTTGCTATCAATATTGGTATATCTGCAGATGCAGAGATGCCTGTGTTTTTTTCTAGTGCGTGAGACTGCAGGAGCCTTAGTCATCATACCTAAATGTTTTTTCTCACCTGTAATTTGTGAGCTGTTAATGGGTACAAATAGCTGGGGTTTTTTTCCTAGCACGAGATGAAATTGTTCTTGAAGTCCCTCTTAGTGTTCCCTTTTCATGTATCGCACCCCCTAACCGTCGTCGCCGAGCCTTTCCTGTCTCCCGGGGGTGTCTTACCTGAGCTGCTGTTATTTCTCCAGCTCCCAAGCCATTCCCCTGCATACAGACAGCATCAGAGCTGCATTTGGAAATGTTAAGTCTGTGCTTAAAATGCTCAGCACTCCATCCTTCCTCGGTCTAAGGACTGTCCCATCTGGACCCTGTGTGCTGCCCACCTCCCTTGGGCCCTCAACAGACTCTCAGTCGACACTCCCCACACGGATACCCAGAGCTGTCCCAGTGTCACTCTTCGGGATGCTTCCCCGGCCCACCTCCTACACAGGCTACGTCACATCCCTGTTTTGTACCATAGGCTCCTCCAGCTCTGCGTTCTCTTCCTCCTCAGGATGTCTGGGGTGGGATCACACTTTCTGTGTGAGAGTCGACTGTAGACTAGACTATAAGCCCTTGCAGGCAGGGAACATAATCTTTGGCTTGTCATTGTGTGTTAAGCATTTAGCATGCTGCTGTGCAAAGATAGTAGCTGCTCAATAAAGTTTTGTTGTGTGAGTAGATTGAGTACAATCCCTGGAACTTCTGTCATTCTGTACCTTGTGGCTTGGTGTGTTCTGGGCTGGGAAGTAGATTTGCTTGTGTTGGAGGGGACTGCAGGCGGATGATCTGTTCCCAGGTCAGAAGTATCCAGATGTGGAGAGGGGGTTATGTTTCTCACCCACCTTTCTGTTGACCATAGATGTCCAAAGGTCTTTTTTGTACTGGCTTTGTTCCTGGGAAAAGGATTTCTTTATGAAGAAGAAATAGTAACTAATGAAGAGTTTTAAAACGTCAGTTGTACTGTCACAGCCGCCTCTGTGCCCACCTCCTGGGAGTGACCCTGGAATTGTTTTCCCTCCATAGGCCCTCGCAGCCAGCGCTGGAACAGGATTCGCTGTCGCTGAGCCTCAGATCGCAATGTTCTGTGGGAAGTTAAACATGCATGTAAACATCCAGACTGGGAGGTGGGAGCCTGACCCAGCGGGCACCCAGAGCTGCTTCGGCACAAAAGAAGAAGTTCTCCAGTACTGTCAGGAGGTGAGCGTGATTTCTGAAGCGTAAAGATGCTTTTCTTTCTGGGTCATGTGTGAGCCTAGTAAGCTTAGAAACAGGTGCTCTGTCATTCTCTTTTGACCTAAGACCAAGCTGGTAATGACCAGGCAGCAGGCTTTTGTTCTGAATGTGTGCCTGGCCCAGGCATGCTGCAAGCTCTTGGGGCTTTCTGGAAGGAATACTGCAGGAGCTTGACCAGGGCCATAGAGATGCAGCTTTGGCTTCCCACGTGTCACAGGAAGATGTGAAGCAGGCCCAGTGTCACATGTGCACTTGTGTTTTGCACTTGTAGGTTGTAGCCAGGAGCCACCAGTATCGTAAGGGATTATCTCAGGTCTGATTGAACAGACCTTTCAGGTCAACACTTGATGTAGAAAAGGATATGAGATGTTTTAACTTCTTACCAAAACTAGCCTTTGGGGTCAGGGCTGGAATATTATTCTCTAGTTTCATTAACAGACACTTCCATAGACTTGCCTTTCAAATGTTTTAGTTCATGAACTCAGCTATTTACACATCTCCTATCAGTGGACTCGATAACTAATAGACTCGTTTCGGGGTGAATGCTTGTTGCTTCTATAGGTCCTTTTAAACAGGAGATGTGTTAAAAGTGCTCCAAAGTCTGCCTGTCGAAAGAAAGCTGATGGTCACAGAATGTCTGTACTTGAGGAGGAGTTCAGCTGGAACCGGCAGCAGAAGGGTCTTCACCTTCACAGAGGACGATGGCGAAGCTGAGCACACAGACCCTCGCCCTCAGTCACTGGCGAGTGTCTGTCTCTTATGGACAAAGTCCGTTTACCGTGCGTGTTCCCTGTTCCTTGCAGATGTATCCAGAGCTACAGATCACAAATGTGATGGAGGCAAACCAGCCGGTCAGCGTGGACAACTGGTGCCGGAGGGACAAGAAGCAGTGCAAGAGCCACATCGTGATCCCCTTCAAGTGTCTCGGTGAGCATCCTGGGGCCTCTGGGTACCGCTCAGGGAGTCAGGGTCCCCAGTATCACATTTTCTTTTCTTTTTTAAAAAAATTTAAAAATATTTTTAATTTTTATTTTTTGGCCATGTTACATAGCTTGTGAGACCTTATCTCCCCGACCGGGGATTGAACCTGTGTCCCCCTGCGTTGGAAGGTGAAGTTTTAACCACTGGGCCGCCAGGGAAGTCCCTTACATTTCATTTTCTCTCAGCTCACAGTGAGATAGCTTCATCTGCTTAGACGCCAAGGGCTGTAGGAATTTATCAGGGGACCTTTGAACACTCGCAGCTTTCTGGTGTTGATAGGTGACTCGTTTGTTGCTCACTCTGCCTCTCCCATGTGGGCGGCCTCTGACTTCTCAGGATGAGCCTTCTCTATAGCCCTGAGTGAGCGTGCTGCCCTCAGAGAGGCCCAGCTGTGTCCACGTCGAGAGTCTGAAATGACTGTTAACAGTCCTAGCGTGCGTAGTGCTGCGGCAGTCTGAGGGGTGGTCTTCTGGTCCTCTTACTTCGTGCACACATTTTGCTGAAGCCCTGTGTCGCCAGCCAGATCAGACTCCGTGCTTAGCGTTCAGGAGCCGAAGGAGTGAGTCGTGGCTGCTGTGGACAGCCAGGGCGGCCTCGGCCAGGCCCTGTGCCACCTGCCCTTCTGAAGGCTCAGCTGACAAGGGTGTTCCTGACTCCATGCATTTGTATGAACAGTCAGAGTGACCTTGGGGACCACTGTGACATTTTATCACCCAGAAGGAGGGTTGTTCCAAATGTTTACATAGTGAGTGTGTTCATCCTGACCACTCATCGTCAACACACCTGAATTATGTTCACACATCTGTAACCTTGGTGACTTCGGCAGATTTGGTCATAGAAGCTTAATGGGGCAAAATAATCCATTTTTGATGATCCATAATAGGACGAACACAGAGTATTAAGCATAGACAGCCTGCAGTGTTCTGTGCAGCCTGGATGGGAGAGGAGGTTGGGGGAGAATGGATACATGTATATGTCCGGCTGAGTCCCTTTGCTGTTCAGCTGAAACTATTGCAACATTGTTAATCAGCTATATCCCAATATAAAATTAAAAGTTTAATAAAAAGTAGACAGCCTCTGCAGTTCTGTATTTATTTTTAAATTAATATTTATTGGAGGATAGTTGCTTTACAATATTGTGTTAGTTCGTGTTGTACAGCAAAGTGAATCAGCCATGTTTGCACATCTTGTTTGGATTTCCTCCCCATTCAGGTCTCCATAGAGCGCTGAGGAGAGCGCCTTGTGCTGCAGAGTCCGTTCTCATTGGTCACCTGTTTTATACACAATAGTGTGTATGTGTCAGTCCTCTCCCAGGTCCTCCCGCCCTCCCTTCCCCGGAGGTACCCACTGCTTTGTTCTCTGTGTCTGTGTGGCTGTTTCTGTTAACCGTTAACCTGTTCCCCTCCCTCCCTTCATTAAAACCTTTCCTAAGGTGGGATTCATTGCTTTTCTCGTTCTCACATGTAGCAAACTAATAGAGGCAGCACCTGAGTAACAGTATTTAAAATACATAGTAATTACTTTGTTTTAAAAATGTTGAGTGGGGGAAAGGAGGACACTGTGTGCACTTAACACATTTATTGAACATTGAGCACCCTACAGTGGTGTGACGCTCTTGAAAGGTTTTGTGTGATGTGGTTTTGAAGATGTTTTTTCATTGCATTTGGCTGTAAGGAATCTCTGGGTATGAGGTTTCATTCATTCTCTGTAAAACTCTCAAACTTAAGGAAATCAAAGAGCATTCTTGAATATTTGTACACAATAGATGGATGCTACCTAGCAATCATTTCTTCCTTTTGCATCCTTGTCCATAAGCCTTTGCAACTTGGTCTTTCCCAGTGTGGCTGTTTTTCACTGGTACTTAGTATATTCAATGAGAAGTCACACTTCAATGTTCCCCCTCAAACTGAATCTTATAGCTTACGTTACTACTAGTTGCCTCATTAGCCGTAAAATTTTATCTAAATAGGTTGGTCCGAGTGGTACAGAGTTGGTAAAGTGTGAAGAGGCAAAGGTGCTAGTATTTTTGGGGAAGGAGTTAGTCATCTCTGACATTTATATACAGACGGACTCCTGCACCTGAAGAAGAGAACTCTGTGAGCCTGTGGCTGTTTCTGTCCTTGTTTATTTCAGGAAGGATTTTTGGATGGGGATGGTTGCTGTGATGTCTTGTTCTCAGAAGCCTCGAGGCGGGGCCAAAATAAAAACCAAAAATAAATATATTGCCAAGTAAATACAGTTACTGTCAACAATGAGAGCCACTACTTGGATGTCAGAATTCAAGCGATTTCTCCTTAGATTGAGCCTCAGATTGCTTCCCCAGTGGAGCTGAATTCTGGTTTGCCACTGGGCTTTGCTTATACTAAGCTACGACTGTAAGCCTGGCTGATGGTAAACTTTATTTCTAGCTCTTTGGGGCCCTCGAGGGCAGCACCGTGTCTAATTCACCTTTGTGTTCCTGCATTAGTGTCAAATTGAGCTATTGGGCCCCCAAAGTCCCTGTGCTAATAGCGGAGTGAAACCTCACTGCCCTGTGGAGGGCTGTTTTGATGCGGGGCAGCTGCTAGTGACAACAGGAGAGCGTATTCCCCCTCACAGCAGGTCGGGGGCTGCCCCTGGCCTCCCAGAGATTGAGGCCTGAGGCTGTGATGAGGCTGGGAAACTGGTATACAAGCAGACTTCACTCCAGTTCAGGCCCTACAACTTTTCTTTTCTTCTTTTTTTTTTTTTTTTGGCCTTGCCTCTTGACTTGTGGGATCTTAGTTCCCCAGCTAGGGATTGAACCCAGGGCCTGGCAGTGAGCACACCAGGTTCTAACCACTGGACCGCCAGGGAATTCCCCCAAGACCTTTCTTGCCAGACAGTTTCTTTATTAGGTTTTCCTCTTTGTTATTTTGTTGTTGTTGCTGTTGTAAAACGTCAGCGCTGAGCCTGCCCGCCTCCTTTCCCCTCCCTACTTACTGCGTCTCCCCCGAGCCCAGCACCATCTCAGTATCCTGCACTCGGGCCCCGTGGGGCCTGTCCATGATGCATCAGAAAAGCCTGGGATGTTCGTTGAATGCGGATCACTGAGGCCCACCTTGTACCTATTGACCCAGAGTGTCTGGCCTTTTATTACATTACAAACATACCCAGACACAGAATCATCGCCTTAACCTCCATAGGCCCATTGCCCCGTCTTACCCCGTCTGTGGCCCACTCCCACCAACCCCTCATTATTTGGAAACAAATCACAGATACCTTTTTTTTTTTTTTTAATATTTCAGCATGTATTTCTAAAAGATAAGGGCTCTATTTTCTAAGCAGCTATGTGTAATTTCCCCCCAGCTTTTTATTTTTGAGAAGTTTCAGATCTATGATAAATGCAGTCGTGAACTCTATACCTGTTACCTGGGCTTCCAATTTTGCCTTATCCATCTTAACTCTGTCTATTTTGTGCAGTTTACTTACTTTTCATTGTTAGACCATTTGAAAGTGAGTTGGGACTTTATGATAGTTCACCTCGAAGTAGCTTTCAACTTCTTAAGAGCAAGGGCATTCTTGTGTTATGACTGTGATATAGCAGTCACACTTGGGACAACTGTCCTAAGTGTTCAAATAATGTCCTTTGCAGCTCCCTTGCAAAAAGGGTGATATATTTAATTAGACAGTTCCTCAGCTTTTTTCTTTTGAATCTTTTATTTATTCTTTTGGCAGCATGTGGGGTCTTTGTTCCCCAACCAGGTATCGAACCTGTGCCCCCTGCAGTGGAAGAGTGGAGTCTTAATCTCTGGACCCCTAAGGAAGTTCCTATATCTTTTATGACAATAATATTTTTGACAGTCTAGGCCCTTTGTTTAACACAATGTCTCTGAATATGGTTCTGTCATATTGTTGTGTATCAATTCAGTTCCGTCGCTCAGTCGCGTCCAATTCTTTATCACCCATGGACTGCAGCATACCAGGCTTCCCTATCCATCACCAACTCCCAAAACTCATGTCTATCGAGTTGGTGATACCGTCCAACTATCTCATCCTCTCATTGTGTATAATTAGATCCAGATGACTGTAGCAGAAAGACAGTCTAGGTGATGTGTTCTCAGAACATGACCTCCATCAGCTTATCACTCATTCGGGTAAAGTCGTGTCTGCCAAACCTTCCCTCTACAAAGGCATCTCTCCCCCTTCATCGTTCACCCTCCACTGATGGTCTGTACCTGGATCAGTCATCACAGTGGTGGTTTGTCTTAGAGCAAGGTGTCTGTAGGGCTAAAGTAAAGTTCACCTGTACTTTGGGAGAACAGGTAGTCTCAGTTTCCTGGACATTTTGTTACTCGACCCAATGTGGGCAGAAATAGAGAAGTGAGAGGCTGGGACTGTTGTTGGTGTGAAGTCAGAGCTGGTGGGGAGTTGCTGTGTGTGTTTGAGGTCTTGATGGGCTCCTCTTCCCATTTCCCCTGCCGGATGCTGCAGGCCTGCTGGGAGTAAGGAATGGAGGGCGGGGAGGAGTAAGGAAGTCCTGGCGTCACAGCTGCGGCGGGGTGTCGAGCTCTTGTGTCTGCTGATGTGGAGCTGAAATGTCCAGTTGGCTTCTACAGATGAGCTTCAGCTCAGCTCACGCACATCAGAGACTGCTCCCGTCTGCATGTGGCTGCGTGACCGTCCCAGTAACCTGCACTCAGGCCGTTTTCACCTTGAATTGTGATCAGATTTGCTCCTGACAAAGCTGCTCTTTTCCAGTGGGTGAATTTGTCAGTGATGTTCTGCTAGTTCCAGAGAAGTGCCTGTTTTTCCACAAGGAGCAGATGGAGGTGTGCGAGAATCACCAGCGCTGGCACACGGTGGTCAAAGAGGTAAAAAGCTGGACAGCAGAAGTCAGGGGCTGCTGCTGCTTTTGGGAGAGAGAATAGCATGTTTCTCCAGAAAAATAATAATCTTCTTACCATAATCTTAACTCAGTTTTTTCCCCTTTATCTCATCAAAGTTTACAGTTACTTGTATCTTCTAAGTTGAAAGAAGAATACATATTTTGGTAAGGAAGTACAGTATTAACAGTCCAGGACCTGGAGGCAAGGATATTAAAAGGATCGTTAAGAAGCTCTCGGCAGGGCATCCAGTAAGGCCGCCCCAGACCCCAAGGCCTGTGTGGAAATATCCAATTACAGAAAATCTGTGTGGATGTGCATGCTGACAGGACTAGAAGTCATTTCATTCTTCCTCTGAGGAGAATGAACTTCCCTAGCTTGTCCTCCAAGTTTAGTTAATTTTTCCAGTCAGTTGCCTTTATTTTGTCTAATTGTGAAGTAATCTGAATTCCTCACCACTGAAGAATGTATGTTATTACTGACCACTGTTAACCAGTGTTGATAATTATTCAAAGAAACCACCAACACCACCACCACCCCAGCCTTAATTTTTTCCACCTTTGGGCTTTCGTTGTTTTGGGCCAGATGACATTTTCCCATTGCAGGTTAAGTGAAATTTGTAAATCTGTAAAGTAGTAGCGTCACAACTTCTCGGCAAAAAATAAATGTGTCCATGAGAAAGGCTTAACATTGTGATTTGGTGAGGATGTTTTCTGAAGGGAGCTAGGGGTGGGGGTCTCTGAGCACACTGCTGTCTCCTGAGAGAGCTGGGATAGGCTCGGGGGTCTCCGAGCACACTGCTGTCTCCTGAGAGAGCTAGGGGTAGGCGCGGGGGTCTCCGAGCACACTGCCGTGTCCTGAGAGAGCTGGGGTAGGCGCGGGGGTCTCCGAGCACACTGCCGTCTCCTGACCTCGGTCCCGGGCCCCCAGGCCTGCCTCACTCAGGGGATGACCTTGTACAGCTACGGCATGCTGCTGCCCTGCGGGGTGGACCAGTTCCACGGCACCGAGTACGTCTGCTGCCCGCAGACAAAGGTGGTCCAAACCTCGGTGTCCAAAGAGGACGAGGAGGATGACGACGATGACGACGACGACGAGGATGAGGAGGAAGACTACGATGTTTATAAAAGGTGAGTTCCGTCCTAAGCCTGTGGGCAGCTGTGGCTGCCACACCCAGGCTTCTGGGTGAAGCCTGTTCCTGCGGAGCCGGGCCAGCACATCTCACTCGACTGTGGCCGAGCCCAGGCACACCAGTGGCCTTCATCCACCTGTCCTCCTGGCCACATGCCTTCCTGCACGATCTCGCGGCCCCTGCTCCCTGGCGGTCAGCTCCTGATGAGGTGGCCGGGCTCAGGGCTTTGAGCAGCATAGCTCCCTGTGAAAGGGAAAAAGTGAAAGTGTTAGTCACTCAGTCGTGTCTGACTCCTTGCGACCCCATGGACTGTAGCCCACCTGGCTCCTCTGTCCATGGGATTACCCAGGCAAGAATTCTGGAGTGGGTTGTCATTTCCTCCTCCAGGGGATCTTCCCAACCCAGGGATCGAACCTGGGTCTCCTGCGTTACAGGATTCTTTCCCACCGTCTGAGCCACAGGGATGGGCTGAACTTATTACTCCCTGCCTCTGTCTTCCGCGTCTCAGGGCAGGGAAGGGAGTCGGTGGTTCTCTGTGCACAGCGGTTGGCGGTGACCTTCCTTTCTTGTGACCTTTAGTGAGTTCCCTACCGAAGCAGATCTGGAAGACTTCACAGAGGCAGCTGCAGATGAGGACGACGAGGAGGAGGGGGAGGAGGTGGTGGAAGACCGCGACTACTACTACGACTCCTTCAAGGGAGATGACTACAATGAGGAGAGCCCCACCGAGCCTGGCAGCGACGGGGCCGCCGCGGAGGAGGAGATCACGCATGACGTCAGAGGTAGACCCGCCTGGCAGTCACACTTATAACCTGTTAATATTCTTTCATTCACTTACAGGCTGCTTGCCTCCCAGGTAGGTCCCAGGAGGGCAGCTTCCTGCCCAAAGGGGAGGTCAGCTCTGGGTGCTCCCGGGTCTGGCAGCAGACAGATGGAGTCAGGAACCTGTGATGTGCATTGTGAGGACTTAAAGAATCAGAGAGGCCACATGGTCTGCCCTCCGACAGGATTCTCCCACGTCCAGCCGGAGATGTTCCCGCACGGGAGCCCCTTCCTCAGTGAGGCCCAGGTCCCAGGTTCTGCACTGGACGTCACTTCTTTGGTTCTTTTCCAATCTGTAGGCTGCCCTGCTTGGCCATCGGGGCATCTGAAATTTGATGACCTGCTGGTAAGGGATCAAGGCCCTTTCAATTTCACTGTCAAATAAAAAGTGAATGTTCCAGACCACTTCTGTGCAGCCCCCTGCTGACCGTATATTTGAAGCCAGTTAAGAGCTGAAGAATTGTTTAGGGTTCAGCCAGGAGCCAATGACTTAATGAGTCTAGAAGTTTGTGATTAACCTTGGAGAACAGAAAATGTACACTGGCCCTTTCAAGGGGCCTGAGTAGTGTTTACAGTGGTGACTGCCACTGAAACTGCCTCTGCACCTGCTCTGTCTCCTTCTGCCCCGGGCGCCCCCGAGACGGCCAAGGCAGGCAGCTATCCCCACTACACAGACCAGAAACGTCAGGCTCCCGAACTGTGCACTGGGGAATTCCTCCACATCAGCCCTTTCCCTCTCTAAGCTCCAGACAGGGCAGAAAGCACTGCTCTCTGCGACAGGGCCCAGGGCTCTCCCTTGCTTTGGGAAGGAAGAGGACCTCACGCTCAGCGATGGCTGGCAAGAGGGGGCCGGCGTTGGCCGGGACGCCCAGGTCGCACCCTGTCTTGGCCATCGCTGAGGTCCAGTGTCACTCAGCCCTTCTCCGCTTGCCGGTCTGTAGCTTTGTGAAGCCCCGAAGCCGCTCCCCCGCCCCGCTGACCTTCTGACCATTTCCACACAGCTGTCTGCTCCCAGGAGGCGCTGACGGGGCCGTGCCGGGCCGTGATGCCCCGCTGGTACTTCGACCTCTCCAAGGGGAAGTGCGTGCGCTTTATATATGGTGGCTGCGGCGGCAACAGGAACAATTTTGAGTCTGAGGATTATTGTATGGCTGTGTGTAAAGCGATGAGTAAGTCCCGTCCGGCGTGCTGTCCCCCGGCATCCTCGTGGCCGCGTCTGTGTGGTGCTCCCCGCCCACCCGGTGTCACTGTCGGTCGTCTGCCCTCCTCTCTGTGCTTCCTAGATCTAGATCTGCTTTCCTGTCGGCAGCTGTCAGCTCGGTTTTCTGTGTCCTGTGCTCGCCGTGGGCCTGGTGGTGGAGGAGGTGGTGGAGGAGGTGATGGTGGTGATGACGGAGGTGATGGCGGAGGGGTGGTGTGCCCTCCGTGCCCGAGGGGCGAGCCCGGGGCCGGCCCTGTCTCATCGGAGCCCCTGTGTCGGTTGGGAAGGAGGCCCTGCCCTCTGCCATCAGACGCTGCAAGGCATGAAGGGCACTCGGACAGGCCGTGAGCTCTGCACATGCTCGCTCAGGGGGACGCCTGCTCTCCAAGGAGGTGACCGTAAGGACATTTTGGGCTGCCGAGGACATTGGAACATCTTTATGCACTCCAGGGAGCCCGCTCTGCAGACAAGAGGTGGTGACTGTTTCCCCAGTATTCTGGGGGGGCCCCTGGGTCCCACAGAGCTTTTAGGAAGCAACGGGGTTTTGGTTTGTTTTCTTTGGTCACAAAGGAAATTCCACATTCGGTGGAGTCTGGTTCACTCAGACGTCAATAGGGTTCTTTTCTTCGTAGTTAGCCCTTTTCCTGTTGAAGATTCTCGTCTGGAGCAGTTCTGACCCATGTGCAGGGGAACTCTCTGGCTGACAGACCCTCCTGCCTTCTGATTCTCACGCTCATTGCCGGTCCTTGTCATTTGCTCTGAAGACTTTTGGCTGTAGCATCTGATGGCTTTTCATTCGAAGGTTTCCTTCAGGCCCTTTTGTTCCCTCTTAATATGGTATGGTATACTGTTAGTGCTTCCATCGTAGCTGCTACTCTGTGGAGGTTTTATTTGAAACGAAAAGATGAGGGGGGGAGCCCTTAGGGGACATTGGTGGCAGAAACTTTTTTGTTCGGGAGAGACAGAGCTAGACATTACAGTGATTCTTCCTGCTTTGTTAAACTCCTTAAACTAAGGGGCGAGAAAGTGTTGTTCGTGGTGGAAACCTGAGGAATCGGGGTCATTAAAGATCACGTTGAACGTGAGGCACAGTCTTTACCCAAAGGATCAAATGTTGACGGGGCGGTAAGAGACACCAGGCGACGGCAGGTGGTCAGAGCAGGAACGGTTTTGAAGTCTGCAGGGCTGGAGTCCCCTGTTACTGTGCAAGGAGAAGCAGTGTGTCCGTGCACTTGTGGGGCCCCTGACTGGAGTGCTTTGGAACCTGGTAGCGTCACTGTCCCTTGAAAGGGACCAGCGCCTGCGAGTGTGCCAGCTTCCTGGGCCGTTTGCTTGCACACAGAGGGCGTGTGGTTCCGGGTCCGAGTCCATCATCTGCAGAACCAGACCTCCAGGTCTGCTGCTCCTGTGCCCTTTCTATTCTGGGGCGGAGGAGGCAGCTTGCACTTACATTATCTTTGTCCGGCCCAGTGATATGAACCAAAGGCTCTGTCTCCGACACGTAAGCCTTTAAGCTGCGGGCCTACATCACTGAGCAACGTGCTTGTTGGCATTGTTGGACTTCAGTGCTTTGAAACACTCCTGAGTGTCGTGGGGAACGTGGTTTCTGAAGCAATCTATATAGATTCTGACTTAGTTACAGTCTGCAAATTGGCTGTTGAGACCTTATTTAAACTTAATGTAGGAACCAAATATTCTTGACAAGACTTTGAGCCACAGCTTTTAGGTTTAAAACTCAGTAGGAGGGTGAATGGGAGATGCCCAGACAGAAGGACGTGGAATGGCTGGCTGGCTTGTGCTCACACTCATCAATTTGCCAGTTGCGCTCACGTTGTGTTAAAGTTACGCAGTTCTGGAAATTGGGTGAGTGTGTCTCCGAATTGAAATTTGTTGAATTTGGCTTTGGCTGTCCACGTGGCTCTCGAGTGTGACCGACAGAACAAGTTGTGTGAGCAGGCTGCCTGACATTCCTCCCTGCCCTGGGAAATCCCCAGTGAGTTGGGGTGTTCAGCGTCTCCACCGGTATTTCTTAAGAGGCTAAGTAAGTAAACCTGTCGCCTTCACCTCCTGGATGCGGATAAGCTCCTTTGTGCAGACACTCACCTGCCTGGGGCCACCAGGAACTTGGACTAGGCATGTGGAGTGTTTGTTCTAATGGGCTGTTCTCTGGGTGGTGGCCAGGTGAGGCCCTTGAGCATCATGGACGGAAAAGCCCGGAGTGTTTTCACTTTGACGGCGAGTCCTTGTCAGACGTGTTGTCCCTGCCGTGGGGCTGGGCTGAGGGTCCTCCCGTGGGACTGAAAACTGAGCAGAGGCAGCTGGGGCGTTTGGACTTCCTCTGCCCAGTCTGTACATTCAACGAATGTACAGTTGAATCAGTGGCCCAGCGTGAATTGTGACCTAAAAATAGCTGGAGAAAAGGCACCCTGAGCCCTGCAGCGCCTTTGCACGTCTGCCGTCAGCCCCGTCTCTGGTCAGATGCACTCAGTAACCAGAAGGGTAGGTCGGGTAGGTGGTTTTAGGTTTTAAGATTTGAAGTCCCGAGTAGGAACCTCGCTAGTTCTGAAGGTACCGGGGTTGCAGACGGGCCTGGCGGCTGGATTTGGGGTAAGGAAGACAGGGCGGAGTCCCGCCAGACGGGCGCGCCGCCACCTTGAGGGACTCACACCGGTCCCTCCAGCAGGCCCAGCAGGGCTTCGACCCAAGCACAGTGCAGCTTCAGCACCAGGCCAGGCCCTGGAGAGAACCCTCCGGTCGTTCTGTTGCAGCTCCCCCAACTCCTCTGCCCACCAATGACGTCGACGTGTATTTCGAGACGTCTGCAGACGACAATGAGCACGCACGCTTCCAGAAGGCCAAGGAACAGCTGGAGATCCGCCACCGCAACCGGATGGACAGGGTAAGCCTGGGTCCCTTCCCTGGGTGGCGCCAGGGCTTCCTAGTTGAAGCAAAGGGACGCCACCTCCTCAGGTGAGGCGTGCGCGTGTGAGCGGGGCTGGCCCCTGGACGGGACCGTGCCCGCCCCTCCCACAGCTCCGCGATGGGGGTCACCCCTCCAGGGTTCCACTCTGCCGGGGGCACTTCCTGTCAACATTACCTTCTGCTTGTTTTTTTTTAAGTTTTTTATTTTTGAAGAAGGGAATTCTCTATCAATATTGTAAGTAGAAAGCTAGTATCATTTATCATTAGAGCAGGGTAACCATACTAACATATATTAGATGAAAGCAGTGTTAGAACATTCCGGCTAGATACTGTTGCCTGCTGAAGGTCTGAGTCTATGGGTTTCTTTTCCTTAAAGGAGTTGTGTCAGAACAACAGGAGCACCATGGAAGTGCAGCTTTCTCCTAGACTTACTCAAAAGGGTTGAAAGAAAGTTGAAAAGGGGCGATTTTGCCAGGTCTGGGTAGCAGCCTCACATCACCTGTGCTGGCTTGTATGCTGGGAGAAATCTGTTGCTGTTCTGAGAAGCAGGTGTTAGCCCTCCTCCCCTTTCTTGTGAGGAGCCTGAGGCACAGAGTCTGGCAAATAACACACCCGAGGTTATGGACGAGGCAGCCGTGAAATGGGGCTCCCCCTGGGGGGCACTGACGCCAGTGTCTTCTGAGGCAGCCGACCTGGGACAGACCTTGAGCTCGTGGGCGCGTGGGCCGCGCACTCTTTGTGCGTCTTCCCACATCATGTTCAGGGCCCCGCAGTCTTTTTAGGAAATGGGACTGCTGGTCCAGTGATCATCTGATCATAGTGGCTTTGACCTTTGTTCCAGGTGAAGAAGGAATGGGAAGAGGCTGAACTTCAAGCGAAGAACCTCCCCAAAGCAGAGAGGCAGACTCTCATTCAGGTGAGACATGTCCTCCAGGGAGGGGGCCCCAGGCAGACCCTTCAGGATATGGTCAGGGCCAGACTCCCCACAAGGTGGACGATGACACCCCCTTTTAGTTGAGAGCTCATGTCACGGGGAGGTTCTCGCTGGCCTGCTTTGTCTTCCCTCCCAGTGGTGTTCTCTGGAGTTGCTCACGTGCTGTGGAGGGAAACCAAAACCCAGGGCAGAGCGCACACACCTTTCATGCCCAGAAGTAACCTCTGCTCAGCTGTGTTCTCCTCTCCTGGCAAGTCCTCGGGCATCGCCCTTCTTAGGCTGTGCCTTGCTCTCTGCAATACTGAATGCTTTTTTTTTTCCCTTGGCAGACTTAATTAAAGTCAAAGGCAGAAAATAGAGCTCTCTGATACCAGTTCATCTCTAACTTTGGATGTAAGAATGTAATCTTAGAACCTCAGCAGCTGCCTTCCCCTTGACTAGAGGAGGGCGTTGACAGGACTGTTTTGGGACTCATGAAACTGGTTGCTGTTTAGGTCAGCTTGTGTTTATGTTTAGCCAAAATCTCTCTGCTCGTGATGTTGAATCACCTTTGCTTTGTCGCCAGTAACCTAGAAAACCCATGAGTGTCCGTTTATGCATAGCCAGTGCACTCTTTGTGGGGGGGTCTCAGCTCTCCAGCCTTAAGTTTTGTTTGCACACCTGGCCTGGCACCTGCAGGGAGCCTGCCCTTCACCACATGGTGTGAATGGTCAGCATCGCCTGCCCTGGGGTTGGACTGTGTGTTGCAGCCTATCCCCCATTGGTCTGTGGTTTGGGGGTGCCTTATTACAGTGTAGGAAAGACAGCTTTCTGTTTCTCGCAGTGCATGTGGAGAGCCCAGGCCTGGGCTTGGCGTGCTGGGATTTCCGTCCCTAAAGGTGCTGAGGAGCCTGCATGACACCCAGATTTATGTGCTCTGGTTAGATGGAGAAGTACAGTCAGCCTTTGAACACAGGGTCCCCCCACACATGGATGTTTTCAGTGGTAGACATCACAGCAACGCTCCCTCCATGGTGGGGTGAATCCGTGGATGCGGGACTGCACATAGGGAGGGCCGACTAAGACTCCCCACAAGGTGGACGATGACACCCCCTTTTAGTTGAGAGCTCATGTCACGGGGAGGTTCTCGCTGGCCTGCTTTGTCTTCCCTCCCAGTGGTGTTCTCTGGAGTTGCTCACGTGCTGTGGAGGGAAACCAAAACCCAGGGCAGAGCGCACACACCTTTCATGCCCAGAAGTAACCTCTGCTCAGCTGTGTTCTCCTCTCCTGGCAAGTCCTCGGGCATCGTCCTTCTTAGGCTGTGCCTTGCTCTCTGCAATACTGAATGCTTTTTTTTTTCCCCTTGGCAGACTTAATTAAAGTCAAAGGCAGAAAATAGAGCTCTCTGATACCAGTTCATCTCTAACTTTGGATGTAAGAATGTAATCTTAGAACCTCAGCAGCTGCCTTCCCCTTGACTAGAGGAGGGCGTTGACAGGACTGTTTTGGGACTCATGAAACTGGTTGCTGTTTAGGTCAGCTTGTGTTTATGTTTAGCCAAAATCTCTCTGCTCGTGATGTTGAATCACCTTTGCTTTGTCGCCAGTAACCTAGAAAACCCATGAGTGTCCGTTTATGCATAGCCAGTGCACTCTTTGTGGGGGGGTCTCAGCTCTCCAGCCTTAAGTTTTGTTTGCACACCTGGCCTGGCACCTGCAGGGAGCCTGCCCTTCACCACATGGTGTGAATGGTCAGCATCGCCTGCCCTGGGGTTGGACTGTGTGTTGCAGCCTATCCCCCATTGGTCTGTGGTTTGGGGGTGCCTTATTACAGTGTAGGAAAGACAGCTTTCCGTTTCTCGCAGTGCATGTGGAGAGCCCAGGCCTGGGCTTGGCGTGCTGGGATTTCCGTCCCTAAAGGTGCTGAGGAGCCTGCATGACACCCAGATTTATGTGCTCTGGTTAGATGGAGAAGTACAGTCAGCCTTTGAACACAGGGTCCCCCCACACATGGATGTTTTCAGTGGTAGACATCACAGCAACGCTCCCTCCATGGTGGGGTGAATCCGTGGATGCGGGACTGCACATAGGGAGGGCCGACTGTAAGTTAGTTACACAGGCCCTTTGACCAAGGAGGATTGGTGCCTTCAACCCCTGCGATGTTCAAGGTCACCTCTAAGAACCCTCAGACCCAACCCCTGCTCCCCCAAGTCTGTGCCTCTTGCAGGGGCACTGGGCACAGAGAGGCAGAATGGGGTCCACCTCGTGTGCATGCACGCCCACAGGTGCATGCATCCCACGTAGTTCTTCTTTCTCTCCTTCAGCACTTCCAGGCCATGGTGAAGGCGCTGGAGAAGGAGGCAGCCAGCGAGAAGCAGCAGCTGGTGGAGACGCACCTGGCGCGTGTGGAGGCCATGCTCAACGACCGCCGCCGGGTGGCGCTGGAGAACTACCTGGCGGCCCTGCAGTCCGACCCTCCGCGGGTGAGCACGCCCAGCCCTGAAGCCCAGGGTGGCCTGTGTGGGACCCGTGTGGGACCACTTCCGGCTTGGGGCCGCCGGCGGTGCAGACACAGCTTCCCCTGGAAAAGCAGAACCTCGGGGTGCTAGTTGGTAGTTCTCCAATTTTTGCATTTTTATAGTAGCCTTACTTCCAAACAATAAAAACATGCCTTCCATGGATGAAGACTTTTGAACCAATTCTATTTTAAATCAGACGATGAGGAAGTTTATATCACAGCTCTTTTCTGCCAGTGCTGCTTGACTTGATCCCTCAGCTCTGACTTGCCTTGCTCTGGGGGGACAGGGTGTTTGTCTGTATCCTCCTTAAGCAAGTGAGGTCTTTCCTGAGTGACACAAGGATAGCCTGGCTTGTATTTGCAGCATCAGATGCTGAACTCAGGAAACAGCATAGATTGGGCTAGAAGAGGAAGTCGGCTAGAGGTTCTGGGAAATACTGTCTATAGAGGAGCCTCTGTAACTGTGGAACTTAGCTTTTGGTACCTTGCTTAGAAAGGTAGCTTCTTATTACTTGGTAACTGAAAGTTTTTACAAGTACAGGTTTCATTCCTGTGCCTTGCTGAGGCTGACATTCTCAGTGAGTTCTTAAAGCTTCATTTTCCTGCCTGTTTTCAGTTCTATAGTCTCTGGATGTGAAAACCCCCGTTCTGTCTTGCAGCCCCATCGCATCCTGCAGGCCTTGCGGCGCTACGTCCGTGCTGAGAACAAAGACCGCCTCCACACCCTCCGTCACTACCAGCACGTGCTGGCTGTCGACCCCGAGAAGGCGGCCCAGATGAGGTCCCAGGTAGGGCAGACGGTGGGGAGACTGCTCTGGCCAGTGCAGCTTGTAATTAGTTCTCGGAGAATGACCTTTTATTTTGAGAGACAGTAGGTACAAGAGCTGGGTTTTGCAAAGGTACTAATTTAGACATATGTTTCCCATACTTTTTAATATTAAGTATGTTCTATTTAAATTGTTTCTGGAAGTTTAGAAATGGATAGTTGTATTGACAAGATAAGTCAGTTTCTTTCAGTTCATTACTGGTTAAGGGTACCACCAGAATTAGCATTTAAAATCTCTTTCTAGGCAAATATTGAGTTGTCCAGAAAGTTCATTTGGGTTTTTGCATAAGATGGTACAAGAACCTGAACGAATATTTTGGCCGACTCTATATCAAGCACATCTTAAAAACTGGACTCTTGTTCAGTTTCGTTGTTTAGATGCTGTTAGCTCCCTCATCTTGTCCCCTCCTGTATCCCACCAATCTCTGCACTTGTCTGTAGGTTGAAAGCAGGTTGTTTCTGGACCTGCTTTCTCATTCTGGTTTTGTCTTTATATGAACTTGAGTTTTACTCTTGTGTTCATAGGAATGAACTTGCCTACAAGACCGCTAGCTTCCTTTAAAACAGTTCGCCTGTTAGTTTTCCTCGAGGGCCTTGAAATGATATAAGTGGTCTTACTCTATCACTTTCTGTATTCTAAATCCAGTGCTCTGCAGGCTATGGGGACTTGGCGTGCACAGGCTGGGGACCTGTCCCCTCCCGCCTCCTGTTGCTTGCATGGTGTAACTGTGGGGGAACTTCCCAGAGGCCCTGGGTGGTTCCCCTCCAGCCCCATTCGCTGCCTGGTTCTGCTCCAGTATCTGACCGCACACTTGAATCCTTGTGTGCCCTTGAGCAGCTCACGGTTGTGTGGTGTTACTTATGTGAGCTGTAAAGATAGAGAATTGTCTTTTAACATACGGGCCCACCCTGGCCGCTGAGTGTCCAGCCAGTGAAAGGAATCAGGCTCCTAAAGAGTGGGAAGGATGTGGGGACGCGGGGCCTCTGTTGGACCTGGAGCTGAGGCTTTGTTTGAAGGTGGACGGTGTAGGAGAGAAGGAGGAAAGGCCAGCAGACTCCGGGCAGCTTCCAGGAAGCTCAGGTGGGGAAAGCTTGCATCCTGACAGAAGTTAGAATTTTTCAGGTCTACTATTTTTTTTTTAATTTAATCACATTTCTTTTTTTTTTTTTTAAACTAGACTATTCGGTAGTATTTTACAGAGAAACATCCTGTTTCGTGTGGTTAGAGTAGAAGGACAGATGAGACCTCGGTCAGTGTGGTCAGTAAACCTTCAAGCCAGGAGGCAGGTGCCACACGAGTGAGGGCCCAGGGAGGCAGAGCATCTCTGCTGTGTGATGTTTACCGTCGGCTCAAAGCCCTTAGTTCTGGGGCAGCTCAGCCCCCAGATTACACTAGCCTTTTGCCTGTCCCCTGTCGTGTTATGTAAACTAGAAAACCCTGAACACGCTGAGCCTCTTAGATCATGTGCACTTTGGTTTGAGGCATGGTTGATGGGCTGCCGCCCTCTCACTCTGCAGTTCCCGGGGCGGGGTGGGGGGTGGGGGGTCCTCCGAAAAGCCTGATGCCCAGTGTCCCGGCCTGCAATCGGTCTTGTCCTCGTGGAAACCATCCTCTGACTGCGACAGTGTCACCACTGCTGAGACCAGACCGGGCAGCTGATGGTTCCCTTCCATTTGCATTTTTTCTCTAAGGCACTCAACTCTGGTGCTTTCCCATCAATTTACTTGATTGAAAGAATGGCAAGTGTAAAATTAAATTGCTTTCATCCTTGCTTTTAAAGGTCAGAGAGACATCAATCTACAATAAAAGCCTCTTTCCATTTAACTTGTTTCCATTTTGACCCTTCACGTTAATGGCTTCAAGCCCACATAATTAATCCATTTGGCTCAGAGCGCCCTCTCGAGGAACAGCTTGGTGGCTGCAGGTGTAACTGGTGGGAATAGCCTTCTTGAGGACCTTGTGTGGTCTATGGCCACCTGCCTCACACTCACTGTGTCATGGGGACGGAGGTAGCCCAAATCTTATTTCCACCATAGTGAAGTAGCTCAGTTGTGTCCAACTCTTTACGACCCCAAGAACTGTAGCCTACCAGGCTCCTCCGTCCATGAGATTTTCCAGGCAAGAGTACTGGAGTGAGCTGCCATTTATTTCCTTCTCCAATTCCACCATAAAAAGCTCTGAAATTCAGGGACCACTTTAATGACTTTTTTTCCCTCTTTTTTTGGATGAACTACTTTGTAACTTTTGCATTCAGAAAAGAAATGAGCATGGAAGACATGGTAGATATGTCTTTCTTATCACCCATTAAATCAGGTTTGTTTATACCTCAGTGTGAAGTTTTGGAGGCATAATTTGTTTAGTTAAAGTGAAAGTCACTCAGTCATGTCTGAAAGTCACTTAGTCACTGAGTCACGTCTGACTCTTTGTGACTCCATGGACTCCAGCCTACCAGGCTCCTCTGTCCATGGGATTTCACAGGCAAGACTACTGGAGTGGGTTGCCATTTCCAACTCCAGGCGGATTTTCCTGACCCAGAGGGCGAACCTGTCTCTTGCATGGCAGGCGGATTCTTTACCACCTGAGCTACCAGGGAAACCCTGTTTAGTTAAACAGGAATCACCTGTTCTCTTGCTCACAGTGATAATCATTTCAAGCAGCTGCTTCACTAAGCAAAATCCATGAATGGTCCCACCCCCCAAATCTACTTTTTAACCAGTGATTTCATTCTTTCCTTACTTCATCTAGTCTGGCCGGTGGTAAAAACTGACCAACTGGTTTCCTCTTTCACTCAGAAAAACCTTCCTGAGTGTCTGACTGTGCAAATCAGGGTTTTGTGTTTGTTTTTTTTTTTTTTTTTGACAATACAGTCCAGTAATGACATTTTTTTAAAGTTTTTGAAAGTTTCCCTTAACTTGGAGCACTCTGTGGATGAATCCTTAAGTCACTGAGAGTAAGTACCACAGGTTCTTGCACCGCAGTGATCAGTGAATATGGGGGAGGGGGTCCTACCACCCCTCTGACCAGCTGCTTTGCTGTAGAGCATGTGGGTGTCCGGCAGGCCCGGCTGTTCCGGTGACACAGCCTCTCCCCCACCTCGTGCTCGCAGGTGATGACGCATCTCCATGTGATTGAAGAACGGCGGAACCAGAGTCTCTCCCTGCTCTACAAAGTCCCGTATGTGGCCCAAGAGATCCAAGAGGAAATCGGTGGGTGCCAGCTGTGGGTGTCAAGGTCAGACCGTGCCGGATTAGAGAAAGGAGGCTGGGCGTTAGTGCACACAGGCTCACGTGGTCAAGTCCTGGGCTGGCAGCCACAGAGCCCAGAGTTTCACTGACCTTGACTCTTGTTACCGGAAGAGAAATCTAGGGTGTGAAATTGCAAGGGACTGGGCGTGTGTCCTCTTACCCTCGCCTCTGTAATTGCTGGTATATTTCAAGGCACCTGTTTACACCATTCTCACTTCCTCTCCCTCTTCTGGTCTTTCCCTTCATTTATTCAACAAATGTTTGTCGTGTCTACTGTGTGTCACAGAGTAGAGCGTGCACCGGTAGACAGACCTCTGGGAGCTCACGTTGTAGGAGGCAAGAAGAGACAGGAAGAGGAGTGTCTGGGGGGGTGTGTCCTGTGCTGGAGGTGGAAGGGTGGGCCAGGGAGGTGCCTGGTGGTCAGGCTGCCTGGGGGCAGGGGCGGGTGGTCGAGTGATGAGGAGGAGCCCTCCCTGCAGAGACCCCCAGCAGGAAAACACCAAGCACAGGCAGTGATGACTGCAGAGCCTGAAGTTGAGAGATTTTAGCGAAATCAAGGAGTTTGGACTTTATTCTGGGATAACAGAAAGCTGCTCAAGGGTTTTAAACTAGCGAGTGACTATATCTGGATTATGCTTTTTTTAAAAAATGTGAATTTTTAAAACATTACTAGGTTGCTGTGTCAAGGGTTGATGAAAATTGGAAGTCACCAGAAAGCAGTTGTAAAAAGCCAGGGCAGACGGGCTGGCTGAGTACCCTGAGACAGGAACGGAGGAGCTGGAGGGGTGGGTGGTCTTGAGGGTGCCTTTCAGAGGAAGGGTGAACAGGATGTGCTGATAGGGTGGGTGGGGCAGGGGGTAAGGGGAAGAAAAGCGCCGGATATGCCCTGATTCTCGCGAGCAGCTGAGTAGAGTGATGGGGCCAGATAGTGCCGAGGTAAAGCATGGTCTTCACTTGTTAAAATGGAAACTGCCCTCGGATAGTAAGTGGTCGGCTATCAGGTGGATGAGCCAGAGCCCGGGGCTGTAGGTGCAAAACACAGCTGTGGGGGTTGTGATCCATGGATGGTATTTACCACTGTGTCATTGGAGGAAAGCACTTCATCCAAGCGAGTTGCTAGAGGAGAGAGGGGTGCTCAGGAAGGAGCCCAGGGGTTCCCAGTGCTGGGGTTCTGCAGTCTACAGAGTCAGGGGTGCACCCTCAGGTGAAAGGAACAGGTTGTGGCCTGAACTATAAACTGGTGAGACTCCCCTTTAAGCAGAGCTCGCATCCGACCAGATTAGTCCTGTTCAGGCTGTCCCGTGCCAGGAAACAATATCCTTCTGAAAACGTGGCTTCTGGGCGTCTGTCTTTGTCAGATGAACTGCTTCAAGAACAGCGAGCCGACATGGACCAGTTCAGCTCCTCCTTCTCAGAAACCCCCGTGGACGTGCGGGTGAGCTCTGAGGAGAGCGACGAGATCCCACCGTTCCGCCCCCTCCATCCCTTCCCATCCCTGCCTGAGAATGAAGGTGCGTGTGCAGAACAGGCCAGCCCGGCAGTGGGACCAAGGGCAGGGAGGGACACGGTTAGAAAATGGAAATCAGATGGAGGGCATGGTGGGAGCGTCGGGGGCTGTGTTCCCTATATGGCTTGGGCATGCCAGGGGATGGGGTCCACCAAGCATCTTCCAACTGGGGTGCCTTCAGAACCTCGGAAGCTTGTCCAGGTCCACCAGCTGCCTCCAGTGTGTGAGGCCGAGATGTGGAGGCCCCTTTGCAGCTTAAATAGCACTTTGGTGTCCTCAGCTGTCCTTGCCTTTGCCTCTTGGTCCTGGGAAGTAGGTGATGGGAGGCTCCCTGCTACTTCCCGGGTCTGCAGTGGGCTCTCAGAGCCGTGCGTCTGTACCAGAAATAAACAGGCGGCCGATCCCAGGCCCTGAGGCCAGGGTGTGCAGTCAGCTTCCATTTATTTGTCTGCTGCTGTCGTGGCTGATGACGGTGATGATAAAAACAGTAGCCACTGCTGTCAGGACCTCCACACACTCCAGCCTCTGTATGTGGGTGCTCTCCTGTATATTGTCTTCCCCAAAACAATGCTCTCAGGAAGGGACTGGAAGTGTTCCTGTTGGGGGATCCAGGGTTTAAAGAGGGTCAGTGTCTGTGGAGGGTCACATAGCTCATAGGTGGGGAGGAAGGACTGGAGCCTGAGTTGAGACAGTCCTGAGTCCTGGGCCCAGATCCAGTGATGCCACCATGGAGGCCCGAGAAAGAAGGCATCCATTTCGGCCTCCAGACCCCAAACACAAGAGTCTTCTAAACCAACTGTCTCAGAGGTGCCGACTCAGAACAGCTGAGCCTCTGATAGTACAAGAGAATCCGAGGAAGGAGCTGGACAAAGAGCCTCATGGGGACCTCCCTCACCCACAGAGCTGCAAGGGTCCCTGCTTCATAGCTTGTTACTGGCGGGGGCATCTTAGACATTTGTGAACTAGGACCTTGTCTCCTTGGAAAACCACGACCAGGACTAACTTGTGTTTCTGTTACTTTCTCAGAAAGATAACTTGGGGCTAAGCTAAATGATGTAGAAATCTCACAGGAGCCCCCCACCCCCTCCCCCCTAAAGACCCAAGACCGCCTGCCTTCTTTACTTCCCCTCCAGTCTTTTGCTGTAGCTCTCACGATGCTGTTTGCTTATGGGGAAGCGCAGGCCCCTTTTGTAAGGAAGCATGCCTTTTGTTTATGTTACAGAGAAGGTCTAAGGTAGGAATTTTGAAAGAAGGCATTTTTTTTTTCCTTAATCTCCTCTTGTGCTGTTTTGTTTTTGTTGCTTTCCTTTCTGCTAGACTCTCAGCCGGAGTTGTACCACCCAATGAAGAAAGGTTGGTTTGTCATAGATGTTCCCTCTAAGGCCTTCATCCCCTGCATTTGCCCAGAAGTTTCATGCTCTGCTTCATCCCATCACTAACTTCTTCCACCTCATCCCTTCAGATGTGGCTGTGAGGGGAGCCGGCGCAGCCAGACCTCCGGCACCTGAATATCGAGCAACCAAAGTAGATTCTTCATAAACCCTTTTAATCTGGGTGGACTTTAAAAGTATATCCAGTTTAAACGGGTTAGTTGCCAGTTGCTGGCAGAAGTTAAAAACACACTTGTGGTCAGGTGGAGAGTCATTTTTATTTTACCGCTCTTTTCTGCCGCTCCCACTTGCATCTTTTGCCTTTCTTCTTAGCTGTCCCTTGCTTTTCATCCATGCCCAGGTGTCTGTTTCCAGCTGTCTCATGTCCCCTGAGATGTAGCATCCCTTAGGACATAGTAGAAGCTGATGGATGAAACAGGTTGAGACAAGTGAACTTCTGATGTAATAAGTGTCCAGTTTTCAGACAGTTAACTGCGTGTGGGCACAGGCTGCATGCTTGCAACCTTGATCTCATGTAACCCACTGCACACATTGGAGATAGGGGTCTTAACTTTCTTTTCTAGATAAGGCAGTTGAAGAATCCTCAACTTCCATGAGTTAAGTCATGAGCTTAAAAGTAGAGGAGCCAGAATTTGAACCTGGCTTCTTCAAGTGTTCTGAGTCCATGGTGCTTCTATTTCATGGAATGCAGTGTGGCTGCAGCATTTCCAGGTGGGTGGGTGGCCCAGCCTCCAGAGTCTCTTGTCAACAAGGACACACAGACTGACTGCTGTGTGCTGTGCCCTGGCAGAAGGGTTGGAGGTGGTGTGTGTGTTGTTTTTCAGAATACAAGGGTGTGTGAGCTTGGTTTTATTCCCTTGGATGTTCCTCTCCGTCACTGGAGGACATTCTTCTGAGCAGCGCATATGTTTAGATGAAGACGAATTTTCTAAAAGTCTTTAACTGGCTTTCACCTTTATGCTTCAGCTGTTATTCACTGGAATAGTTTAAATGTTAACTTTTGGTCCCTTAACATCACCTGATTATTCATTCTATATGACCAAAGTGGTTTTGGTCAGCATTTAAGAAACACATGGGTTGTACCACCAAAAATGTGTTAGGACAGTCTGCGCACTGGCAGTAGGGCTTTAAGTCCATTGGTTCAGTGCCGCGTTTTTCAATTAGGATCCTGCCCTTAGGACCTTTGAAATTCTGACGAGAGAGAGAGGGATGGGAGGAGCAGTTCGAATAGATCGGGCTTGGTCGTGAGCATCAGTGCGCTGAAATATAGCCTTACTATTTCATTGACGTTCTGAGGCTGCAGAAGCCAGCCCTGCTTTAACTCGCCCTCGAATCAAGTTGTGACTCTTTTAAAATGGAAGCTTTGGGGGGAAAGTTGCCTAGTTTCTGGCTGTATTCTAATGAGTGAAATGTCATCTAGCCTGGGGTTCAAAAGCTGCAGTGTAGTGACTGGAGGCTCTGGGTCCAGCCCAAGTCTGGCTGTGAGCTGGAGAGCTCTCTGTGGCCGGGCCTCTGGCAGCCCATGGACAGTAGCTTTGTAGATACCCATATCAGCATCTGACTCACCTGCCATGGTCGCCTTAGAATGCCAAGTGTGTTGCCAGGTTGATCTGTTTGTAAAAGGCTCAGGTCACAGGCATCTATATAGCACTGTGTTTGTTATTATTAACCAGACACTCAAAAGAGAGCTAGAAGTCACATGCTTTAGAGCTAAAACTAGAGGACTGCACCTCACTCTTCCTCTCGCTGTCCTTCGGAGTGCCACGCGCAGGTGACGCTGGCTCAGGCGATGTCTGACCTTGACAAGAGGACAGTTGACATTCTTGCTCTGTTTATGGAGAGGTGCCGTCCGGCCTGGTGTTAGAGTTCTCCCTGTGTAGGGAATGCCTTCTTCCTGTTCAGGGTGTGATGGTCTGATCCAGGCCCAGGAGGGTTACAGCGTAGTGAGAGACAGAACAAGACCAGTCATCACACACAGTGACTTTTAAGTACCATGACCTGGGAATGTCTCCCCCAAAAGATCTGCAGCTTGAAGGACAGATGGGCAGGTATGAGGGGAGGGAGGGTGTTTCAGCAGAAAGATGGTGCTCGAGGTGGGCGTCCAGGGATGACAGTTCTTCCATTCAGAGCCCCAGTGGCAAAGGAGCAAGGGGTTAGTAGGTGCTTGATGATATCACAGAGGGGTCGAGGGTTTTGTGATGCTGGAAGGCCTTTGGACCCAGTTTCTATCTGTAGTTCAAAGCGCGTTCTCTCCTGAAGGCTTACACAGTGAGCACCACATCCTCTTCCTGTCACATGACACCCATCGGTCCTGTGTCCCTCATCCCTGTGGAGCATAGCGCATCCTCCAGGCTGGGAGCAAGTAGCACATCGAGAGCCGGGGGTGGGGGCATGCGCTGGGGGCTCCCTGACCCTCGGGAGGGAGTCTGCCGCTTCCGTGAGGCGGACGTGACATCGGCCCACCTCGGGAGACAGCTGCGCTCTCTGCACACAGGATCCGCGCTGGGAGAGCAGGACGGAGGACTGATCGGGGCCGAGGAGAAGGTGATCAACAGCAAGAAGAAAGTGGATGAAAACATGGTGAGCCTCTTCTCCCTGCTCCATGTCCCAGTTAACTCGGAGAACGACCGGACGCTCCCCTGTGGACCTGCGCGTGTCCCAGCCCATAGGGAAGCACAGGGCGGGCTCCCACTGCCCCCGCAGTTGTGCCGTGTTCTTCAGCATCTGAGTGTGAAATGGAGCAATTCTTTCAGCAGTAGCTCATCTCTTGCTCTACAGTGGAAAATAATATTTGCAACTAAGGGTATGAACAAATGTGAGAGGCTGTTTCTTAAAAGACCAACTGCTATACAGTAATTTTGCACCCACACCTGCTGCTTTGTTAAGGGGTTCGGTGAGGAGACCTAGGTGAACATGGCAGAACTGATGGGTTACTGGGTGTCCATCCAGTGTCTGTTTCCCTCCACCAAATGGTATGTGGAGCAGCAAAGAAGTAGTGATCTCTATGCCAAACTCCCCCTCCCACTCAGTGGGTGACATTTTCCCACCGTTTCAGGTCATTGATGAGACCCTGGACGTGAAGGAGATGATTTTCAATGCTGAGAGAGTCGGAGGCCTCGAGGAAGAACCGGTATGTGTTTTGCTCCAAAACCTGATGGCAAGTCTCAGGTCAGCCTTACCTGTTTTCCTCTCCCGCCCTCTCAGTACAGGGGGAAGACGAAGCAGCGCCTGCTCTTTTAAGTTATCAAGGTCCCTCGTCCCCCATTTTCCTGTACTTTCAGATAAGAAAGATTAGCATCCCCATGAAGGGAAAGGAGGGGCTTCCCTGATAGCTCCAGTTGGTAAAGAAGTCACCTGCAATGCAGGAGACCCCAGTTTGATTCCTAGGTCGGGAAGATCTGCTGGAGAAGGGATAGGCTACCCGCTCCAATATTCTTGGGTTTCTCTTGTTGCTCAGATGGGAAAGAATCAGCCTGCAAAGCAGGAGACCTGGGTTTGTCCCTGGAGGGAAAGGATGGGGGCCCTCCCCACCTGGATGGTTACTTGGGCAGCAGGGTCCTGGCGCCCCTGTGGGCTTGTCGCCTCTCACACCCTGTGGCCTGTCTGTTCTGTTGCTGCAGGAGTCTGTGGGGCCGCTGCGGGAGGACTTCAGCCTGAGCAGCAGCGCCCTCATCGGCCTGCTGGTCATCGCGGTGGCCATCGCCACCATCATCGTCATCAGCCTCGTGATGCTGAGGAGGAGGCAGTACGGCAGCATCAGCCATGGCATCGTGGAGGTGAGCCATCGATGAGCTGGACAGGACCTGAGCATCAGCTTAATCACTGTGTTATCGGCTCCCGTCTTGGCAGTCAGCCCCCGCTGAATTAAGCTGATCCAGTCACAAGGGCTGTCACCAACATTTAACATTAGTTTGGGCTTTGACTGTGAATGTGAGGCAGTCGTAAGAGCATTTTATGCTGAGAAAATGGTTTTCTCAAATTGTTTCCTTAGTGTTTGCCCTTTTTTTTAAGGATATTAGATGTTTGAGAATGAAGGACTGCTAATACTTGTTTTTTAAACTTTTTCATATCTATTTATTATTAGTTTGCTTCTTTTGACTTATTTTCTAAGGAGCAAACCAGGTAGGTATAGGACAGATCAGGTAACAGTGGCTGTGTGAGTGAACCGAGTCTTAAAAATATGAAACAGGAATAACACTCTTATTTTTCAGTAGGGGAAAAAAAGCAGCAGGAAATTCAGAAAAAGCCAGACCAGATTGTTTTCTGACCCATCTTTTGCTCATTTGTATTCAGAACTGTTTACTTAGCACTAGTTTTTAGTGGGTGCTTGGGAAGGCCCATGGTGTCTTGATTCCAGAAAATGAGTATGGTAAGGAATAGATTGCGCTTGGGAAAATTAGTCCAAATGCACTTAGTTATCTGGTTTCACCTGCTGCTGGACACTGATCAGGGGGTAGGATTCCAGAGCTGGAGGAGACCTGAGGTCATCTGGTCTTGGCTGCTGGCTTGGCTCGCCCTCGCCCAGGCCGCCCCTTGTAGACACAGCCGAGCAGAGACTTGCTGTAGATTCAGCTCACCGTTCCCTCCAGCGTGGACTCTAGGTTTCAGGAGGCTGGCCTCTCTGACCCTCGTTTCTTTTATTATTGCGTTTTTTTTTTTTTTATAAAAAGTTTTAAATGTACAAAATGTTCCAGGACAATACTTTATCCTACCTAGAGGTGTAGCAGCTGCTACGGCGGGAAATGCAGATGTCTGCACAGGAATGGAACTAAGGGTCATCACTGCCTCGGACACAAGAAACAGCTTACTATTTGCCAGATTCCTTAATTCCACCTGTGGCCAGGGGTCCTTTCGCCATGACCTTCCCTTTTAGCTCTTCAGGTGTCTTCTGCTCCTCCTTCTGTTTATGCTCGAATGCCTCACCTTCCTCGTCCATCTCCTTGGCTGGCTTCTTGGGCGACTTCAGGGGCTTCTTGGCCGCCTTCGCAGCCCAGCGTGGTGCCTCTGCCGCTCCCCCAGACCCTGCTGCTGGAAGCGGAGCTCTCCATCCCGGCTCCTGTGCCCATGCCTCCCCGTTATTTCTTTGGCTTCGTCGGGTCTCAGTTGCAGCACCTGGTCTTCACTGCGGCGTGCGGGATCTGTCTTTGCAACACAAGAGCGCTTGTTGGGGCGCGAGGCCTCAGTAGTTGCATCGTGTGGGCGTTGTTGCTCCACGGCATGTGGGATCTTAGTTCCCCAACCAGGGATCAAACCTGTATCCCCCGCATTGCAAGGCGGATTCTTAACCACTGGACTACCAGGGAAGCCCGCTGACCCTCTTTTCTTTCTTCTCCTCCTGGGTCCTCACCGCCTGCTCTTGTCTGGTCCATCCTCGTGATCCCCAGGGATCACACAATTCATGTCTTCTGACGCCCTGGCATGTTCTCCTACGTTCACACAGTGACTGCTATCTTTGTTCCTCCAGGTCGACCCGATGCTCACCCCAGAAGAGCGTCACCTGAGCAAGATGCAGAACCATGGCTACGAAAACCCAACCTACAAATACCTGGAGCAGATGCAGATTTAAGCAGGGGAAGCGCAGCGCCAGTGGAGGGAGGTTGGGCGGGCAGCAGACGTCCAGAGGTCTGGATGGACGATGGACCGACAGTGACTTCCAGAGGAGTTCCTCGACACTCAGATCTCCTGGAGCATTAAGACTATAAAGTACTACTGTAGAGTCACAATTTCCATTCTTTTAAATGGGCGAAAAAAATGTTAATATAACAATATATGATATATAAACCTTAAATGAACAAATGATCTATTGCAGATATTTGACTGATGTAGTTTTCTTTTTTTAAATTAATCAGGAATCTCACTTCTGTTGTATCGTCTCACACATGCTCTCTATTGAAATGGAAATGTTGATTGTCAATGATAGACTGAACATGCTACATGCAGGCCGTTTGTTCCAGCTGCACTGTGTAAACCAGCTCTTTAAGGCTCACTGTCCTGGTTTTTATTTAAAAAAAAAGAAGAAGAGGCAGTATTCCATTTAAATGGGCTTTCAGAAGGTTGCTGACAAGCCGAATCAGGAGCCGTAATTATTGGTCCTTAAAGTACATCACCATCCCCTCTCAAAATTCCTTTGAAGGACCCTTTCTCGGAGGTCTGGTGCTCCCACCGCTGGGTACCAGGGTGTCTTCACACAAGTCCTGTCACCAGAGAGGCGCTCAGAGCAAGCATTTGCGCTTCAGCATCTCTCCGCAAGCCTGTGTGTGCAGAGCAGGCCCACTGCTGCGCTCCTTCTCAATCCAGTTCTTCCACAGAAATTAGCCTGTCGTTGGTACCTGACGTCCTTCCTCTGTCTGCCGTTGACTCACCGTAGCTTCTGACCACGCACGTCCTTCCCAAGTGATGTCTAGATGTGCTGTTTTCCTCTCTGGGTAATTCCCGGCCCCTCTCCCCCGCCAAGGCACTGGTCCGCACCATCCACTGGGAGGAGACGGCAGAAGAGACGGCCAGCGGCCCGGGGAGGACCGGGGAGGTTTGCTTTTCTGTGGAAGGTGGAGGTTCCAAGCTGTACACGAAATGACCTGTAGACCCCATGGAAGCTCCAAAAGTTTCGTTTCGTTCACATGAGTCTCTGTGATGCTTGTGTAGTTGATGTTGCTGCTCACAGCTGCTTCTTTTCCTTTTTTTTTTTTGATTCAGAAGGTTCTGGTAACCTGTGGTGTATCTTTTTTTTCTATTTCCCTGTGATGTTTTTTTTCTTCTTCCTCCCCTTTACCCATCCATGTCTCTTCCCACTATGCACAGATAAACTTCACCTACAAACTCCTTAATCTGATCTGTGGAGAATGTACAGAGTTTAAACACATCAATAAATACTTTAACTTCCACCAGGACTCCGTGTGTCATTGGCCTGGCATTACTCGTGGTGACGGCTTCAGCCCTCCACCCCGGAGGGTGGGTGGCTTCCTTTTCTGGAGGGTCACTGATCACTCGGTGGAGGCAGGAATTGGTCCAGCGGGCTGGACTCCTGGGCTTGAGTTGCATTTTTCATCTAAAAAATTAAAAAAGAGGAACAGTTCCTTCAACCTCAAAGCTTGTGACTTTTTTGATCTCAGAGAAGTAATCTTTCATTATTTCTGTAATGATTTCTTCCACTGTATTTTATGTTTTTTAAAACTAGAACTAGTTAAAACTCCCCTGATTGCTTCTTTTTCCTTATAGTCTGCAATCTGGATGATTCCTTTGCCTATTGTTACCTTTCTAGTGAGTTTTGTAATTATGTTTTTAAATTCCATAAGAGCTGCTTGCTTTCTTGCTGTCTACGTCTCCCTCCCTTCCTTGATGCACATGTGGGATGTTTGATCCCTGGTGGCATGTGGGATCTTGGTCCCCCTGTCAGGGATCGAACCTGTGCTCCCTGCAGTGTCTCAACCCCTGGACTGCCTGGGAATGCCCTTCTGGCTTTATCTTAATATTTCTTATGACATTTCTTCTTTTTATGAGGACAAATCCATCTGAGTTTGTGCAGTAGGATTTTTAAAGTATTCCTTCTCTAACTTGCCTGTTTCCTTTAGTATTATTATTTTTGTTTTTTCTTAATTTTTACAACGTCGTGTCGGTTTTAGCCGTACTACAGTGCGAGTCAGCTGGAAATTATACACATGCCCCCTCCCTCACGAGCCTTCCTCCCTTTCTCCCATCCCGCCCCTCTAGATCATCACAGAGCAGCAGCCTGGGTTCCTGTGTTATATAGCAACTTCCCACCAGCTGTCTCTTTTACACAGGATAGTGTACTTTGATGGTGCTTTCTTCGTTCGTCCCACTGACTCACTCCCCCACTGTGTCCACAAGTCCATCCTCTACATCTGTATCTCCATTTCTTCCCTGCAAAAGGTTCATTAATACCATTTATCTAGATTCCATACATATGCGTTAATATACTGTATCTATCTGACTGACTATCCTTCTCAATCCAGTTCTTCCACAGAAATTAGCCTGTCGTTGGTACCTGACGTCCTTCCTCTGTCTGCCGTTGACTCACCGTAGCTTCTGACCATGCACGTCCTTCCCAAGTGATGTCTAGATGTGCTGTTTTCCTCTCTGGGTAATTCCCGGCCCCCCTCCCCCACCAAGGCACTGGCCCGCACCATCCACTGGGAGGAGACGGCAGAAGAGATGGCCAGCGGCCCGGGGAGGTTTGCTTTTCTGTGGAAGGTGGAGGTTCCAAGCTGTACACGAAATGACCTGTAGACCCCATGGAAGCTCCAAAAGTTTCGTTTCATTCACATGAGTCTCTGTGATGCTTGTGTAGTTGATGTTGCTGCTCACAGCTGCTTCTTTTCCTTTTTTTTTTTTTTTGATTCAGAAGGTTCTGGTAACCTGTGGTGTATCTTTTTTTTCTATTTCCCTGTGATGTTTTTTTTCTTCTTCCTCCCCTTTACCCATCCATGTCTCTTCCCACTATGCACAGATAAACTTCACCTACAAACTCCTTAATCTGATCTGTGGAGAATGTACAGAGTTTAAACACATCAATAAATACTTTAACTTCCACCAGGACTCCGTGTGTCATTGGCCTGGCGTTACTCGTGGTGAAGGCTTCAGCCCTCCACCCCGGAGGGTGGGTGGCTTCCTTTTCTGGAGGGTCACTGATCACTCGGTGGAGGCAGGAATTGGTCCAGCGGGCTGGACTCCTGGGCTTGAGTTGCATTTTTCATCTAAAAAATTAAAAAAGAGGAACAGTTCCTTCAACCTCAAAGCTTGTGACTTTTTTGATCTCAGAGAAGTAATCTTTCATTATTTCTGTAATGATTTCTTCCACTGTATTTTATGTTTTTTAAAACTATAACTAGTTAAAACTCCCCTGATTGCTTCTTTTTCCTTATAGTCTGCAATCTGGATGATTCCTTTGCCTATTGTTACCTTTCTAGTGAGTTTTGTAATTATGTTTTTAAATTCCATAAGAGCTGCTTGCTTTCTTGCTGTCTACGTCTCCCTCCCTTCCTTGATGCACATGTGGGATGTTTGATCCCTGGTGGCATGTGGGATCTTGGTCCCCCTGTCAGGGATCGAACCTGTGCTCCCTGCAGTGTCTCAACCCCTGGACTGCCTGGGAATGCCCTTCTGGCTTTATCTTAATATTTCTTATGACATTTCTTCTTTTTATGAGGACAAATCCATCTGAGTTTGTGCAGTAGGATTTTTAAAGTATTCCTTCTCTAACTTGCCTGTTTCCTTTAGTATTATTATTTTTGTTTTTTCTTAATTTTTACAACGTCGTGTCGGTTTTAGCCGTACTACAGTGTGAGTCAGCTGGAAATTATACACATGCCCCCTCCCTCACGAGCCTTCCTCCCTTTCTCCCATCCCGCCCCTCTAGATCATCACAGAGCAGCAGCCTGGGTTCCTGTGTTATATAGCAACTTCCCACCAGCTGTCTCTTTTACACAGGATAGTGTACTTTGATGGTGCTTTCTTCGTTCGTCCCACTGACTCACTCCCCCACTGTGTCCACAAGTCCTCCTCTACATCTGTATCTCCATTTCTTCCCTGCAAAAGGTTCATTAATACCATTTATCTAGATTCCATACATATGCGTTAATATACTGTATCTATCTGACTGACTTCGCCCTGTAACAGGCTCGAGACTCATCCACCTCACTAGAACCAAGACTCAAATTTGTTCTGTTTTTTTACATCTGAGTAACACTCTGTTGTGTATATGTACCACAACCTCTTTATCAATTCGTCAGTGGACATCTAGGTTGCTTCCATGTCCTGGCTATTGTCAACAGTGCTGCAATGAGTGTTGGGATATGTGTCTTTTAAAATTGTGGTTTTCTCAGGATGTGTGCCCAGTAGTGGGGTTTCTGGGTCATATGGTAGATGTACTCCCAGTGTTTTAAGGGATCTCATACTGTTCTTCATATACCTATTTCCTTTTGAGCTCTTAACTTTCTTTGAAAATGAAAGTGTTAGTTGCTCAGTCACGTCCAACTCTTTGTGGCTCCATGGACCAGAGCCCACCAGACTCCTCTGTCCATGGAATTCTCCAGGCAAGAATACTGGAGTGGGTAGCGATTCCCTTCTTCAGGGGGTCTTCCTGACCCTGGCATGGAACCCAGGTCTCCTGTATTGCAGGTGGATTCTTTGCCGTCTGAATTCCTATAAATGTGTAGTGATCATTTGATCAAACGTAAGGATAAACTACATGATTATTTAAAAGAAGTAAATCAGAAAGTGAAGGAAGGGTTTGGTGCAGTAAAATAACAATTGTTGATTAACATGAGACTTTTCTTCTTGATCCTGGCAACGGTGAGTAGAGCTTGGGGCTGAATTTTTAAGAAAGGTTTGCAGCCTTCGTTTCTGAGTTTCTTAAATAATCTGCCACTAGCAGGCACTGTTTTCTCATTGAAGGAGGTTTGTTTACTCAACACCTGCTTTCAGTGTATTGTGCCCGGGGGTGATTTTCACTGTGATGGAAGTCTTTCTAACTTCCGCCTGCTCCTGAGTAAATTCAGGGGCTGATCTCAGCAGTCCTCACCCTAGTAGAGTGTGATGCAGCTTTACTTCTATGGTGCTGTCAGGATCCCACTGCATGTCTGTGTGTGTATCCATGTACATGTGTGCACATACATGGTGTATGCATTTTCTTTAGATACTGGAATAGGGGGTGTGCGTTTTATGAGCCTCTGGCCAGGAAATGCCTTGGGACAAACCAGTTAAACAGGCTGGTTCTTTGTTGCCATCAGCAGGTCCCCATGTGCCCCTCCCTCCTGCATCGACCTCACAACTGCTGCCAGGAAGTTGGGGAAATAGAAACTTCATTTCTTTGAAGCCAGTGTCTCTGAATTCCAAAGGGTGTCTTCAGTTGGCCCTCAGCAATACAAGCTGGGATGTGTGGGTCTGCATTCATTAGGATTCCCTCCCAAATCTAACAGACCTGCTTCGCTTGGGTCAGCGCCTGCCATCTGCCGGCTGCTTTGAATGCGTTGCCTCATTTTATTGTCTGGACTTCACAGGGGGCTATTGTCTTACACACAGAGGTGAGGAATGACAACTTCTGCCCAGGGGATGTCGGTCCTGGGAAACGGGGGGGGGGGGGGGGGGGGGGGGGGGGGGGGGGGCAGAGTCACCCCACACGCGGCGCCTGTCTGCCAGGGCCCGTCCAGCTCGCCAGCTTTTAGCACCAGTGTCCATCACCCACGCCCCTATTGACAGTGGGTCTCAGAGACACGGGGTGGGGGGCACTGGTGAAACAGCAGTAGGTTCTGTTACCCCGAGGGGGGTCCGTGCAGAGGGAGCTGAAGGTGGATCTGAATGTCCTGGCAACGAGGCTCCCATGTCCTCCTCACCCTGGAATGATGGAGAACTCTAGATGTGTAGAAGCTCTATGGAGATTTAAGTTTTTTAATTTTGAAAGGAGATGTGAACTTCCCTGGTGGTCCAGTGCTCCCAATGCTGGGGTCTGTGTTCAATCCCTGGTCAGGGAACCAGATCCCACCTGCTGCGAATAAGACCTGGTGCAGCCAAATAAGTAAGTAAATTTAAAAAAAAAAAAAAACAAAAAAACGAAGCATAGGCAAGGCAGCAAGCCTCGTCTAAGCCAGCTACACTCCGCTCCCTGGCGGCACCTTCCCCCACGCCGTCCTAGGAGAAACTCACTCCACTCCCGGTTTCTGCAGGTGACTCAGCCTTGCCTCTGGGGAGCGGGGCCCGCCCCCTCCTGGCGGCCTCCGGCGCCCGCAGCACCTGCGGACTTTGGCGTGAGGTCCTCCTACCTCCCGCGTCTGCTCTCAGTGACAATCGGAACCTGGCAGTCAGGTCTGAGCCAGCCCAGGTGTCCCACTAACCTCTGGTTTCAGTTGCTGCGACTCTGATTGCTCTGATTTAAGAGAGAGGTTGGGGTGTGATGAGTTGCTCATATTTGGGGAGGCCCCGGGGTCCCCTCCAAAGGAACATATGGCCTTACATGACTGTTAGAAATGGACACTTGAGAGTAGAGAGAAGGAACCAGAAGGCCCCGTGGCTTCCCTGTCCCACCCTCGTTTCACAGCTGACACATAGCCACCAGCTCACATGCTCCTGCACAGAGCCAAAGTCTGTGGGGTATGCAGTAATTTTCTGGGACAAACGGTGAAGTGGTCCTTGTAAAACAGGGCCAGCTGGCACTGTGCCCTCTTAGCTTCAGTGAACAAGGGGAAATGGTGTCTCTCCTGCCCTCTGTGGGCACTGGGTCCAGCAGGCCTTTACAAACACAGCTGTGCCTTCCTGAGGGGCATGGTCCAGGTATCCAGAGGAGGGGACAGGACTTGACCAAACAGTAAACATTTTTCTAGCATCCTTGAAATGGGTGGAGCAAGGCTTCTTGATCAATCTCCGGAAGGTCTCGGCCCACTTAACCCAGGTCTGCTGAACTAAGACAGTGGCTCGCTCTTTACAGCAGCAATCTCCATCAATAAAACATTTTTGTAATGGTATTTCTATTTTTACCTTTTTGAGGAATGTCCATACAGTATTCCATAGTGGTTGCACCACCACTATTTACATTCTCACCTACCAGCACTCCAAAACCTTTTAAATATGTGTCTTAGATAGTCATTTAAAAAGTATATATATGCACTTATAAATGGAAATTTGGGAAGCGTAAAAAAGATGAAATTTCCCCCTCAAATTTTATTTACTAGAGGAACAAAGCCTTTCAGGTCTAGTGAAATGTTACTCGTTTCAGTGGAAGCAAAGCGATTGTTTTCATTCTTCCTCTAACTAAAGTCCATAGATGATTCACATTTCTTTAGTTTTTACCCAATGTCCTTTCTCTGTCCCAGGATATCACATTTTTAGGTGTGTCTTGTTAGGGAAGTCAAAATGGAGGAAGTCTTGTTCAGGCTTCAGAAGCAGAAGAGCAGGCCTCTGACTTTGCTTCTGACTCTGCTCAGATTCTGTACCCGCTCACCTGCAAGCACAGCAATCAGGCAGCACTTTAGATGAGAAAGGGAGTGGGTCTTGGAATTCTTTTGAGCCCCTGGAGTTCTCGCCAATCCCCTGAGGTCTAAGAATTCTTGTGACTCACAAAAGTTGTGAAACAGCTTTGTAAAGCTGCATTTTTTGTACGCCATCTGATGATGATATAATCCTGGGATTATAGGCAGGAGCCCCCAAAACTGCAATTTGAAGTCTCGCCGAAAGGTGGATGCACTGCCCAGGGGGCCTTTCCCAAATGGGACTCCAAATTGCTGTTAACAAGGGACTTAGCAGTGCTGCTTAATTCTGGATTTTGGTCAGCCCAATTTGGTGATGTGTGTGCTATTACTTTTGTCTGTTGTTTCTTTTCTTTTAATGACTAGGGATCTTCCCGACCCAGGGATCGAACCCGGGTCTCCCGCATTGTAGACAGACGCTTTACTGTCTGAACCACTAGGGAAGTCCATTGAAATTAGGTCATAATCTTCCATAGAAAATTGTTTATATGTGCAACAGTGGTTTGATTATTAACGAATCCTTCGAACCTAAAACAAAAGTAAAGCTTTTGGGAAAACATGTCTCTTTAAGCT